TTTAGACTCAGGTCTAATAAGGATTTTACAGACTCTGATTCCAGCTCTTCTTTAGCACAACAGCAGGGAAAGTAGTGTTCTCACTAGCCACAATCCAAACTCTAACTACTGTAAAATCCTTTACCATCACAGTAAAAGCATCCAAACAATCATCATCTTGAACATGAATAGATGTATCCAAGCTAATATCCCACATTAATCCAATCTTTACTACTTTTATGACAAACTCGAAACGTGTTTTTGATAGCAATACCAGCCTGGGTATGATTAATGTGTGACATGGTGCCAGCTTTAAGGAAACCCTTTAGTGTCCCATTACCACACCCACACTGGGAGCTGCTATGGCTGTCAGCGTGACGGCAATCTGTTCCTAATGATAACAAAGTTTGTTCACTAGAATAAGTGCTTGCCAACCTGCTGAGAGACTGAATGCCAAGAGCAGTCTTAAAACTGACAAACCAAAACTGCCTTTTTTTGTCTTGACAATTTCTTCTTATGCAAATCTAATAACTGAAAGTGTAACACATGTTTTCATTCATTCAGCATAACACATTATAGGCCATTTATTTTAAGTCGCTACACAACCTTAGTCTCAACTTCTCTCCCTCGTGTTTTTTTAAGATAAGAATCAAGTCTATGTATGCATTCAGCTGTGCTATCCAAACTGTCACGCTTTAATACCAACAGACAGTCTGCAAATATCATAACACATAATAGTAACACCTGTATAACACCCTATATATTTATAAACCCTTCAACGCTCTGCTAACAACCAGCAGTAGCATGTTCAGCTTTTTGTATAGGTTGTCTTGTTAAAAGTATACCCAATTCAGCCAGTCACTTGAGTTACTTTTTCTGCACAACATTGTATTCATCATTAAAGCCAATATATATGTCCAAACCCGAAGTTGTTTAGTTGTTTTGGTCACATTTTTCTCTGCAGAACTACATTATAGAGTATATTTTTTAAAAAAATCCTAGCATATATACATATATACAGTAAGGTTTGGCAGAGATGGAGAAGGGAAAATTTTCACTGTTGTGCCCTCTAGTGGTCACAGCAGTTAAACACAGTCCAGCAAGCTCCTTCACCTAAAAGAGCAGTGTGTAAGTTTTGGTGGCATCCAGTGGTGACAGTGCAAAATACAACTAAATAAACGCCACTTGCCTCAAACTCCTCTTTTTTTATTACATTAGCAACAGGAAAGGCTCTAGAATCAGAGTTCCATAAAGTGCAGCAAACTGCAGCACTTGGAAACATATACACACAACTACAAATGCCTGCTGAATATGATGTTACAAACCTAGAAATGACTGTCATTCATTTAAATGTTTTGTTCATATTATCAACTATCAAGGCCACTAAGACAACACAGTAAGTGTAATCAGTATCATCATGTAGATAAAAAGAGGAGAACAGACAACAAGGCAACTTCCAGAAGACTGCATGTTTATCTGCGCTTTTCTCTCTCTGCATTTAGTCAACTGGAAAAGCAAATAAATGCTCACATAAAAATAGAGTACTTCTAACAGCCGATGACAGAGAGAGGAGCTCTTTACAGATAACACTCTGCTTCTCTGTTAGCATATAGGAAAGTTGCTGCAGATACCAATAATTCTGTTGCACGCTTGCTTCAATGTAAACAATTAAAGCCTATGGATAAAAAAACTTTAACTTTTTTCCTTTTACAAACTCTAAGATGTCTATAGCGTAACCTAAAATCAGATTTAAACTTCTGCTGTTTGTTAATACAACACATATTTATGCTAAAGTCAGTAAATATTAATGAGATACTCACTTGATACCACTGAGGACAATACTACGAAAACTCAATTCCCAGATGCATTAACAAGTACTCAGTTTCGTGTCTCATCTAGTACTATCCTGTCAGGGATGAACACACTGATATCTCTCATTTGTGGTCATTCCATCACATCAGATTACTATGATGCATTTAACAGATTTAATTTCACAAACCAACATTTCCACACAGGTGTAAAGCAGTCAAGGATCAAACTGGAACAATGAAAAGAATAAACTTCAAACCTGTGAACTGAGGAGCATATCAACAAAGGCAGACTAAAGATTTTTGGACACCACTCAAATGGAAACATTTTCCTTCGCCTTGTAATCAGAAGGTTGCCGGTTCGAGCCCCGGCTCGGACAGTCTCGGTCGTTGTGTCCTTGGGCAAGACACTTCACCTACTGCCTACTGGTGTTGGCCAGAAGGGCCGATGGCGCGATATGGCAGCCT